CGCTGGATGGGAGCAGCGAAAGGGCGATGCGCGCGAAGGCGCGCGCATGCGCAGTGAACGCGAGCGAAGCCGCGGCCGATGAGGATTAGGCCTCGTGGTTGTCGCACGCATAAAGCGAGAGAGGCGGCCGAAATTACTTGGGAATGTGGAGTTTGGAAGCTTTTAGAATTGTTTGGAGTGCAAGCCAAACAATTAGTATTTTAGTTATGTTAGGATTTTATTTCCATATTGCTTTTATTTATTAGTAGTAGAAGATGTTAGGAGATTTACTAGCATTAGGATTTATTTTATTGCATAGAATAGGAGATCTAGTTTGATTAGGCCTAGATTTATTTTGCACCTATAAATACCCCATGTACCTCATCATATTTTATGTCTGGAATTGAGTATTGAATTGGTTAGCCAATTTTGAGGGGAACTTTATGTTCTAACGTGTGATAAACAAGGTCGTCAGTGCGTGTTTACATACAGTGTCGGAGAGAAGGCCCTGAGAGCGTCTCAAAGTCACAGTGTCTAGGAGAAGGCCGATAGTGCGTCTGTTAGATACACCTATCGTGGATAAACAAAGGCCCTGAGTATAAATAAACACATCGATCAGCGATCCCTCATCATTGGTGCTTTCATTGAGAGGTGCTGATTGTGTTTTTATTTATCGTATCTTTTCTTTTTTTTTTTTTCGGTTTGCCTTTTGCTGAGGGGCCGAATTTCTCTTTATTTTTTGGTTTTTGGGGTTCGAATTTTTTCGAATTTTCCCTTTTATTTTTCAAAATTTAGTCTTAAAAAAAAAGTGTCATCTTGTTAGTCCTCAGTTTGATTTTTGTTCGGTTATCACCTTTTGTTGAGGGGCCGAATTTCTTTTTTGGTTCGAATTTTGAGTCTTGTTTGGGATTCGATTTTTTCGAATTTTTCCCTATTTATTTTTCGATTTTTAGAGTCAAAAAAAAAAAAAAAGAATCATGATGTTTGAGCCATTAGTTGAGTGGGATCAAGAGGATCTCGAATACCTCGAAGGTTTGGAAAGAGATTTGACTCCTTGGGAGCAAGAGTATTTAGAGGAGATGTACGAGAAAAGAGAGGAGTATGAAAGACAACTCATACAAGCCCGAGAAGCGATGGTGGTTGAGGATCCAAACGGTGATGAAGGTGCACTTAATTTCTTAATCCTTGAGGACAAGGAAAGTCTCGAAGAGGAGGGGAATGATACAGAAGTGGTAATCAACCCAGGCGAGTCAGAAGATGAAGATGGCGACGATCTCGATATATGGCTGGAGAACATGCTGGAGGAGCCGACAAGTCCAATATACCGGCCATCGTGTGTACGAGATTGGCTAAAAGGATGTGGCACGAAACTGAAGTTGAAGGAGAAGAAACGGATGGCCAAGAGACAACGTAAAGCCAAGGCTCGAAAAGCAAGTCAATGTTGGTGTAAGCCTTGTACAAAGAAAAGACGAGCCCAAAGGAAGGAGGCTAGAAGGCGTGGCTTACGATGGGTGAAGAATGGTTGGTGGATACCGGCGGATGACTTTGTGAGACTGAAAGGTTGGGATCCATGGCCCGAACCAACGGGAACGAGCGGCGACAAGGAAGGTGAGGGTGACAGCGACCGACTAATGAGCAAATGTCGCGCATCGGCCCATGATGCGCGCGGGTGGACCGAACAGGCCGTACAAGGGTGCATGACGGATGGGCAGACCACGGACGTCGACTGGGACGCATTGGCGTTCGACAGCGGAAGCGCGGGTGAGCATTCCGAACATATCGGCGGTACGCGCAATGTACGTGTGTGCGCGGTAGAGGATCAGGGCGCATGGGCGCTGGAGGAAACGCGCGGGGCACGGGACGACAGCGCGAGCGGCACAGATGTGAGGGGCGTGCGCGGCACTCGCGCAGGTGGCGAGGACGCACGGCAGTTGGCCAGCGAGGGTCGGGCATGCGCGATGGCGTGCGAGTGGGACGACGCGGACGAATACCTAGTCGCCGAAGGATTAGGCGAGGTGGCCTGACACCTGGGTGAGGGAGACGCGCTGGCTGGGAGCAGCGAAAGGGCGATGCGCGCGAAGGCGCGCGCGTGCGCAGTGAATGCGAGCGAAGCCGCGGCCGATGAGGATTAGGCCTCGCGGGTGTCGCACGCATAAGGCGAGAGAGGCGGCCGAAATTACTTGGGAATGTGGAGTTTGGAAGCTTTTAGAATTGTTTGGGGTGCAAGCCAAACAATTAGTATTTTAGTTATGTTAGGATTTTATTTCCATATTGCTTTTATTTATTAGTAGTAGAAGATGTTAGGAGATTTACTAGCATTAGGATTTATTTTATTGCATAGAATAGGAGATCTAGTTTGATTAGGCCTAGATTTATTTTGCACCTATAAATACCCCATGTACCTCATTATATTTTATGTCTGGAATTGAGTATTGAATTGGTGAGCCAATTTTGAGGGGAACTTTATGTTCTAACGTGTGATAAACAAGGCCGTCAATGCGTGTTTACATACAGTGTCGGAGAGAAGGCCCTGAGAGCGTCCAAAAGACACAGTGTCTAGGAGAAGGCCGATAGTGCGTCTGTTAGATACACCTATTGTGGATAAACGAAGGCCCTGAGTGCGCCGTTTATTCACAACCCAACGTATAAATAAACACATCGATCAGCGATCCCTTATCACTACTGCCCTGCGCCCG